ACACTGATACCGTGTCAAACATTTGAATTGTGTTTAATACATTTTAATATAATTAAATAATAAAAGTAGCTAAAAAGTGAATTAGTTATTTATTGATTGTTAAAATACACACACACACACACACACACACACACACACACACACACACACACACACACACACACACACACACACATATACATATATATATATATATATATATATATATATATATATATAATTTTTTAGGCACTAATCATTATTTTCCATGAGACTTGTGAACGCTTCCTCTGATGTCATGGCTCCAGGCACTGGGCTTTGACTGAGCCTTTTCCCCTTTTTTTGCCACTTCCCTGCTCAATTATTCATTGCTTAAAATAAAAAAGGTCAGAAAGTAGAATTCTGAGCAATTCATGGGTTCAAGACCTTCTAAGATCACAAGGAAACCTCTGCTTAACCTCTCTTGAAGTAGTGAACACAGGGGATGTTTTTTTTTTTTCGTTCTGGGATATGATCGCTACCCCTGGATCAATAGTGAATTCCTGTTGTGTCCACTGGGAGTCACTAGATCAATGTGGTTCCCAGACCAATTGTCTATGTTGAATTAGATGTTTTAGAAATGTCATTTCTTTATTAGGAAGTCATACTAGACATCTTATATTGAAAAATAATCAAATGATAAAAAAAACGTTGGTGCAATATAAGTTTTGTACTTGTATTAAAGCAAGTGTATAATGCTACACATGGGCACAATCTTCACCACCCATTTTTTTCAGTGTACACTCTAGTATATGTCTTAAAGCTTAATAATCCCATGACAATGATTAGCGCTGATTACTAAAAAGACTGCATTCAGTAGCTTGATCTTCAGCCTTTAACACAAGACAAGGGAATGTTAATATTATAACCATATACGTTTTTTCTTTCAGTGTTGACAACATTGGCATGGTGAAAATTTGGCCATCGTTGCTTGTCTTCAGAGACAATTTACAAAACTCGAGCCTCCAGCATCATTAATGGGCTTCAGTAAATGACACCAGCAGCAGTGAGATAAATACAGCCATCACACCAGTTGACACATTTGCTGCATTTGCCTACTGCACCATGGATAGATGAGACCTGTGACTTAATGCTATAATTATTAACTAATTGTCTTTAACCTCACAAACAGTGTTCAGCCACATTATGTAAAGGAGTCAGGGATGTGTAATGACAGTGTAATCCATCACAGCGTTGGGGGGCGTGGGGGATGGTTCTAATGAGATTTCATTTGAGTATGGCAAATCTGCAGAATGCATAGATAGAAGCCACATTAAGCTAATTGGGAGATGAGTGCCTTGGTGTAAAAGTGCTACTAATGGCAGGTTTGTTGCCTGACTAATGCAGGGGAGTTGGCTAAGGACCTGAGGCTGATTTGTGGGCAGACGTAGTAATATTTTATTGTATCAGTCAATCTAAATGTAGCCTCCACTTCACCTCTTTTAGTTTGATCCAGGATAACATTGCTTGAACGAAGAAATTAATACTCAGAAAAATCTAAATATGGGAAAGAGCCATCAAAATAGTAAAATCATCCTAAATGTTACTGAAAGCTTTTGTCTCTGAAACGAACATTTTTACTGTTTATTATTATCACTTTCCATCAAATAATCATTATCACTTTTTTTGAGTGTGGCCTTGGGTTTAACTGGCTTGGGTCCAGACGTTTTTGGAAATGTTGATGGGTGCGTTTGCATAGCCCCTCTTACACTGGCCCGCCAAAGAGTACAGCCTGTGACCTGTATCATGACAGCTAGCTGGCCTCAATGATTCCATCCAAGCACATTTGGTAAACATTACAGTTCAGTGTCTTCTCTTGCTGTATGCTGTAATTGAATAATGACAAAAAATAAGATAAACTCATAAGTGAAACTTGGCCATGTCAGATTTGTTTGAAAAGCACAGGGTTGAATGGTGGCAGCAGTCCAAACAGCCAAAGGTCATTCTTGCTGAACTTGCAAATTTAAATGGCACTGCTTGGAATAAAAACTGTATTCTGGCTGCAGTTTGACTGCTCTGATCATTTATTGTGAGGTGTGCAGGTTAAGCATACTCATCACTGAAGGTTTGCACCTTAAAGCATAATAATTTAACAGAAATATGTTAAGTACTGGTGACGCGGTGGCGCAGTAGTAGTGCTGTCGCCTCACAGCAAGAAGGTCACTGGTTCGAGGGTTGGGTCAGGTAACCTTTCTGTGTGGAGTTTGCATGTTCTCCTCGCGTTTGCGTGGGTTTTCTCTGGGTGCTCCGGTTTCACCCACAAGTCCAAAGACATGTGGTACAGGTGAAAAGGGTAAGCTAAATTGTCCATAGTGTATGTGTGTGAATGAGTGCTAATGGATGTTTCCCAGTGATGGGTTGTGGCTGGAAGGGCATCCGCTGCGTAAAAAAAATGTGTTGGATAAGTTGGTGGTTTATTCCATTGTGGCAACCCCAGATTAATACAGGGACTAAGCCGAAAAGAAAATGAATGAACGTAAACTACCACAGTGAGTAGCATGGTAAGAAGGTTGCTAATTCAAGTCCTGGCTGGAATAAGATGCATTTTAGTGTGGAGTTTATATGTTCTCCCCCTAAAAGCCCACAGCAAAAGGTCGCTGGTTTGAGCCTCGGCTGGGTCAGTTGGCGTTTCTGTGTGGAGTTTGCATGTTCTCCCTGCATTCACGTGGGTTTCCTCCGGGTGCTCGGGTTTCCCCCACAGTTCAAAGACATGTGGTACAAAAGAATTCTGTAGGCTAAATTGTCCGTAGTGTATGAGTGTGAAGTAGTGTGTGTGGATGTTTCCCAGAGATGGGTTGCGGCTAGAAGGGCATGCACTGCATGGAACATGTGCTGGATAAGTTGGCAATTCATTCCGCTGTGGCGACCCTGGATTAATAAAGGGACTAAGCCGTAAAGAAAATGAATTAATAAATTTTTATACAGTTTTACGTAGCACATTCTAATGTACAAAGCAAAGAAAAGAAACAAACAAATAAGTAAACAAATGCTCTTTTAAACACTTTCACAATTTAAATATGTAAAACTGAAAGAAGGGAATGTGTAGAAGAAGAAAAAACTGAAAAAATGTAATGAAAGAATTGCTCAATCATGCCACAGTACTTTTATGGGATTTGATAGTGCCGTTAGTATCGTTAAAAAAATTCACTTTGTAATTTTTCCCTTCTTCTACATCAAATTGAAATACAGGAGTTCAAACCACTATGCCATAAAAAATAATATTGTTGAGGCTGAAATTTAAAGTCTTACCTCCAGGCTAAACTCACACTCAAACACGAAATGAAAGTATAAAATGTTTTTAATGTATATTTAACAACAAATACCCCAGTGACTATTGATGTGCTGTCTCTGAAGAATTTATCTTGCTTAAATTTCTGAGGCCATGCTGTTGTGAAACCCTTCTGTATTCCCACCTCTCGTTCTCTTTTACCATCTTCTCTTTTCTTCACTTTCTCTCATTCTCTAACTCTCCCACTCTCTTTAAACATTTATTCTCTGTCTGCGCCTTAAAGGCCCTTTGTGCTTTGTGCTGTTGATTTTTACCGCTCTTAAAATCCAGAGCAACCATTTATCATTCATAGAACCAAGCAGGCCAGGGCAGACAAAGCCTCGCCTTGTGTCATCTCTAATTGTGATCAGAACAACCATTGCACTCTTGATGTCACCTTGTTCTGTGTCAGAAAAAGGATTGTATATGAAAAGAACAAATAATCTTTTTCTCCTCTTAACTAGCAAATACCGTTCATTAAATTCACATAATCAATAAATACTAAATGTCATTGAACATATATAGAAAGCTTATGAATGTTATGAGGAGTTATGTCTATTACTCTCAAACCCAGATTAGTGACATGGAGAACCTATTCGAACAGGGTTTAGGAAGCAGAGTTATATACTATAGGAAGCATTCTTCAGAGTCAAATAATGCTGCTACCAGAGAAAGGGGACAGAACACTAGGTCACATATTTATGTATCAAAGTTACAAGCCTAACCACATTGCTAAAAAATACTGCCAAGACTCCATTCCCAGAATCTCTTGCCATGTCTCAGTGTCTGGCAGTGGGCAAGTGTGCAGAGTTTAAACTGTTTTATTTTTCAGTGGTTAATAATACCATTACTTACAATCCTGGCTGAGGAACAAGTTCTTTTGAAAGTTGGGCTTATTTCTCCTCCTGGAGCAATACCGCTTTATCATGGAAACTTTCCATATCCAGTGGTTCCAGCTCCTACACATACATACATATATACATTAATGTATGCATAGATGAAAAAACAATAAAATAAGCAAACAAACGAATCTAGATTAGGATATGTTGATATTTATTCTATTTCTTACTTGAATATCTGAGGACTAACAGTATATGAAAGTTACTAAACAGTTTTAGTTGACACCGTATACTTGATAAAGTATGCTTTCTTTAATATTTAAATAAAACCCCAATCTCCAATTAACATAAAGTTCAATTAATACTGATCTGAATCCTGCCTGATAAATATAATGCAAGATTGCTGTCACCTCCAAGGCTTCTTCAATAACATGGTAAAATAAACATTAGCTATTTTTTGTCCAAAATTGCATAACCAATATGAAAATAGTTTTAATTTGACTAGTTACTTATAAATTTGTGAACCTTCCTTTTGACATTTTAAAGCTGTATTTCACATAATATTGATACTAAATGATAACATTATTATACAAGTTATTATTGTTGTTGTTGTTATGTAAACATTTAATTAATATTTGCATGGCTTGTCAATGTGCAGGCATAAAGACTACACTTGTACAGTTCTTTGGAAAGAATTAGCAAAGCAGAGTGACAATTAAATACTTTTATTTTGTAACCATAATATCAATTGCTGTTTATGTGCACATTTTGATGATATATCCTTATCCGCCCATCATTTTTCACAAATTATATGCAGTAAAAAAGAAATAAGCATTTGTTGTTTTTTTTCTTTTCTTTTTTTATATGGCCTCTAGGATGCTGCAGGCAAGGTTCTGGACAGATGGACTATAATGTCTCGGGAAGAGGAGATCATCACACTGCAACAGTTTCTGCGCTTTGGCGAAACAAAGTCTATTGTGGAATTGATGGCCATTCAGGAAAAAGAAGGTCAGGCAGTCACAGTGCCCTCATCAAAGACTGATTCTGGAATTAGAACTTTTATTGAAAGCAACAATCGCACACGTAGTCCTGGCCTTTTATCACACCTAGAAAACAACAGCCCTTCTAGCATTCACCATTTTGAGAACATCCCAAACAGTTTGGCTTTCTTGCTGCCCTTCCAGTACATCAACCCGATGTCAGCCCCTATGCTAGGGCTTCCACCAAATGGACTTAGTATTGAACAATCAGGTCTTAGAATGAGGGAGCCAAACCTGCCAAATCAGAGTGACCCAGTGGAGGCCAGCGAATCTGAAGTTTCACTCTCACCATTTCATAGTGGTCAAAGCCCCAGTCGAGGAGTAATGGGGACCTTACCCAATGCCATCGAACCTAAGACAGAACCCAACAGAGCTTCTCCTATCTCTCCAACACCATCTACACTGCAGTCCCAGCAACCACAGACACCAACACAACAGACACAGGGGCAACAACAGTCAAGTTCTCTGAACAATCACCAGATTCATCACCATTTTGAAAAAAATGAACAGTCAAAAACTATAACACACTCTTCTTTCTCCTCCAAAATGCATCGCATACGTCGCATGGGTGCGACATCACGTAAGGGTCGTGTCTGCTGCAACTCCTGTGGCAAGACTTTCTATGATAAGGGTACTTTAAAGATCCACTACAATGCTGTGCATCTGAAGATTAAGCATCGTTGTACTATTGAAGGCTGCAATATGGTCTTCAGCTCTCTGCGTAGTCGTAACCGACATAGTGCTAATCCCAATCCTCGCCTACACATGCCTATGCTGAGGAACAATCGGGACAAGGACCTTATTCGCTCCAGCTCTGGGACAGCCACTCCTGTCATATCAAGTACCAAAAGTGGCTTCAATCTAACTAGCCCAGGGCGGCCACCATTAAGTTTTGCCACCCCTCCTCTTGAGCCTATGATACAGTCACCTCTGCAGAGCCCACTTGTGTTCCCTTCTTTAAAGTCTGTGCAGCCAGTGCAACCTGTGCCACCCTTTTATCGCACACTACTTTCTCCTGCTGACCTAGTTAGCCCCCCAGTCTCTCTGCCTACCAGTCCAATTCTGCCTACAACAGCTAACAGCACATCTCTTACGGACCAGCAACAGATGTTAGCTGTTAGCTCCCTTAGCATGCATGTATCCGAAACATCACCATTTTCTCATCGCTTACCCACAAATCACAGTACCCAAGATTCCATTATTCTTGATCCTATGCCTAAAAAGAAGCCTCGCAAGTCTAGCATGCCAGTAAAAATAGAGAAAGAGGTGATAGATGTTGCAGATGACTATGATGACAAAGATGAGGATGATGATGATGGAGACAGTTGTCACCATCACCATCATCAACCATCCAGCATCCATAATGTTAATGGCAACTGCAACAACAACAATAATGGCAGTAGCAGCAGCAGTCATCATTGTGGTGGTAGTGGACATGAGTCTCCATCACACGATGAAATGAGTCCCAGTCAAGCACTTAGAGGCATGCTCCATCCTGAACAAGAAGAATGCACTGGCAGTCATGGTGGTAGAGGCCATGGTGACCTACGCTGTATTGACAGCTTTACCTCTGAGGACCAAGATCATGAGCGTGACTTTGAAAATGAGTCTGAGACATCTGAATCCAAAATGCTGTACCGCGATGAGCTGATGGACACTGACATAAATCAGACTGCTCTGGGGAAAAATATGGATAAGGAACACCAGGGGACAGAAGATGACCAACATCTAAGAAAAGATTTGGATGAACACAGCCATTCCCCACCCTCCCAACACCAGCCTGTTATCAAAATCAAAGAAGAGATCAATGATCCTACTTATGACATGTTCTGCATGGGTCAATACAGCCTTTACAATGGAGGTATGGCAGCTGCCGCTGCAGCTGCTGCCAGCATGGCTGCCTTACATGAAAGTTTCATCTCCTCTATGAGCTATGGAACAAGTACACCAAAGTTCCCCTCCCAGTCACCTGAGGGTGATCTCTGCTCTAGTCCTGATCCCAAAATCTGCTATGTCTGCAAAAAGAGCTTTAAAAGTTCCTACAGTGTCAAACTGCATTACAAGAATGTTCACCTAAAAGAGATGCATGTGTGCACTGTCTCTGGATGCAATGCTGCTTTCCCCTCCAGGCGGAGCAGAGATAGGTGAGGCAAATCCCTTTTTATATTACAGATATATTTATAGACAATAAAAATGAATCTATTCTATACTATGCTACAATATACTACACTGTACTATACTGTTTTATGTATTTTTGTTTTAATTGTCTTTATTTAAGTGTTGCTTTAGCATAACATTTCTAAGTATGTTTCATAAAGTTTGATACAACCTTTAAGACCCTTCTGAAAAACTGTTTAAACTTCATTCTTTATTGCAAATTTGAGTGGGAAAAATGTTCAGAAAAGATGTTAACAAATTATGTTTTAACAGGAAGAACATGTGTTGATTGTACATTTCTACAGACACTTATTTAATGCAATAATTTGCTGTTTATCTATACTTGCTCACATGTCACACGCAGGTAGACATGCATACATTATCAGGGGTTCAACCTTGTCAAACCGCTGCATTCATTAGCGCATCAGGAGGTGCAGGTTTCTTCGACTGCTAGTTAACACATTTACCATAAACAGCACTAGAATTCATTTATGCCAGAGGGCAAGCAATAAACAGCTCTTCCATCAAATGTAGAGTGTTCAAAGTTAATTGTTTTGGCTCTACAAATAAAATGTATTCTGATTCTGCAAAAGTCTGCCAAATCATTAGTGATTTATAAGTCTCAATTAATATGATTTAGTATAAATATAGATCAGTGTGGTTTCATTTAGTGGCCCACTTAGTCACTCAAACAGTGCAGTCTTTAAAAAAATACTCCACTTCAGGAACCTGCTGGACAATACAGGAAAATAAAAAGGCTTGATATAGATTCAAATCTATAAGCAGTCTTATTCACTCAAGAGGGCAGATGTAAGAACTTGTCTCTTCTCACACACTTTCTTCACAAGACCGTTTAATTAAGATAAGCATGTCCATGTGTACATGAAAGGAATGATTTCTGTGAAAGCTGTTTTTTAGAGTTAGGGTCAAGGTTTGTGAATTGAATGTGTGTGTCCATAACTTTAGTCCATTTTACAGAATATTAAAGACCAGTCTATGCTTTATTGAGTTAATGTGAGGTCTTGTATGCTAATTACTACGGTATAAACATAATTACTATAGTGACTATAAAAGAGACAAGTGTAAAAAGCTAAGTGAGATGTTTGTGTGTCCCAGCTGTGTGTTGTTGTACTGCAATGACTTCCTCTATCTTTGAGGAAAGAACAGTCTATCCTGTCTATCTATCTATCTATCTATCTATCTATCTATCTATCTATCTATCTATCTATCTATCTATCTATCTATCTATCTATCTATCTATCTATCTATCTATCCATCCATCCATCCATCCAACCATCCAACTATCTATCTATCTATCTATCTATCTATCTATCTATCTATCTATCTATCTATCTATCTATCTATCTATCTATCTATCTATCAGTCTATCAGTCTGTCTGCTTGTCTGTTTATCCATCCATCCATCCATCCATCCATCCATCCACCTACAGTATCTGTCCGTCCGTCTATCTATCTATCTATCTATCTATCTATCTATCTATCTATCTATCTATCTATCTATCTATCTATCTATCTATGTATCTATCTATCTATCTATCTATCTATCTATCTATCTATCTATCTATCTATCTATCTATCTATCTATCTATCTATCTATCTATCTATCTATCTATCTATCTATCTATCTATCTATCTATCTATCTATCCATCCATCCATCCATCCATCCATCCAACCATCCCTCCGTCCGTCCGTCCGTCCGTCCGTCCGTCCGTCTGTCTGTCTATCTATCTATCTATCTATCTATCTATCTATCTATCTATCTATCTATCTATCTATCTATCTATCTATCTATCTATCTATCTATCAGTCTATCAGTCTGTCTGCTTGTCTGTTTATCCATCCATCCATCCATCCATCCATCCATCCATCCATCCATCCACCTACAGTATCTGTCCGTCCGTCCGTCCATCTATCTATCTATCTATCTATCTATCTATCTATCTATCTATCTATCTATCTATCTATCTATCTATCTATCTATCTATCTATCTATCTATCTATCAATCTATCTATCTAACTATCTATCTATCTATCTATCTGTCTATCTATCTATCTATCTATCTATCTATCTATCCTTCTATCTATCTATAGTATTTGTCTGTCTATCCATCCATTCATCTATCATCTACATATATCTACAGTGTCTGTCTGTCTGTCTGTCTGTCCGTCCATGGTATGTTCCTTATGAAAGCAGGGGAATACCGCAGTCCTGTATTTAAAATCAGGATGCTCATTAATTGCATATTTTAACCTGCTAGTTTTACCCAGCCTCTATGCTACCTCATCTCCACTCTTTTTAGGTTTCACCCCTTCACCTCACTTTTAGGCTTTGCTTTTGCACTGGCTTTGCCAGTTTCTTTGACCTTAAGCTTAGTCTTACTCAGAAATATATACAATATACAATTGTACAATATATATTTGATATGAACATATTTCATATGGCATTAAAAACTATTTCTTTCATATTCCAGTAAGTGCTGTGGTTTTGTTTACAGTTTTTCTCAGCCACTTTGGTGCATTTCTCACTATACTATTTACATTTGCACAACAGTTAATGCATTTCTCAAACCAATTAGTACAAATTGCAAAACCTAGTTGACAAAATGTGTGTCACTTGCTTAAAATAGATTGACAAGTATTCATGTCAATAAAAGTGTCAGTGTCATCAAGATGAAAAGTCCTGACACCATTGTTTGTGAATAAGATAGTCAGATGGCTTTGGTATGTTTTCATTATGACAGATTCCTCTGTAATTTTTTTGCCAATGCAAAAAAAGTCAGAAACATTTTGGTGACACTTCCTGAAAATGCCCAAGACAGCACTAGATACTATTTGCACAGCCATTTGAAAACTACAGTAAAGTTAAACATTACTGCATTTAGTGAGGTATCTGAGTATAAGACACTACATATGTTTGTTTCACATTTTTACTGCATCTGCTCTTTGCAATTCTAATTTATTCACAGCATTGTGCAAAAGAATAAACACACCCTTATTTACAATAAACAGAAACTTTTTTTGGGTTGAGCTGTGCACAACTGTAAACAATATTGCAGTACATGTTGGAACTGATCATACAATATACATTGGTCTGCAAATCATTCATGAAACTGATCAATTTAGAAGACATTTTCAGGAAAAAAAAAGATTTAGAATTTTTTTTAAAAATTGCAGATTTTGACAACTAGATTAACATTTTTGTATGTAATGACTCAAGTAATGAAATGTGGACTATTAGTATGAAATGGAATGACTATTAAGCATTCACAAGTTTAGTTCATTTTGACTGACATGACATGAGCAAATTATATTGTTATTAAACAGCAGGGAGTTGTATGAAAGCAGTTGATCCATGTCCAAAAGCATTTGCAATTTTTAGAAGGAATTAAAACATGCTACTATGATGTGCACAAATGACTAATTGTTTTGAGAAATGCATTAAATGTTGTGCAAATGCAAATAGTTTTGTGAGAAATGCACCAAATTAACTGAGAAAAACTGTAGGATTAGAGATTGTTTAGTAAGGTTTCGAAAAAATATAATTTTCCAGTTATGTTTATGATTTTGTATTAATATGTATTGTTATCAATAATTCACAACTATAAACCACATTCTACAGCAAAGTATTTAGAAAAATAAAAAATAAAAATCAGTGTGAAATTATGACTTTAAAATCCAAGTATTAAATGCTAACATGTCATCTAAATTCAGTGTTAATAAACTTATCCACACTGACTTTTAAATAAGCTGTTGGCATCCATGAATAGGAAGTTAAATTGATAAATAACATTTAAATAACACTCTTCAGCTTTATCAAACAAATACAAAATCTCCCATCAAAGTGAATAAAGAGGATGCAATTAAGCAACAACAACAACAACAAAAAAAGTGTGAGGATGATAAAATTGTGAGAAAATGTCAGGGATAAGGCAGAATATTAATACAAGTGCAAGTGCAAACAATATTGCATGACATTTTACTATTATCATCATCATCATAAAAATGTTCATTTATTTATTCATTCATTCATTCATTCATTCAACCTAGGCTCATTGGGAATATGAGAAACTGCAAATACATGCTTTGGCGTACTTTACCGAAATTACTGTACTTTACCTAGTTTAATAATGTTTATATATAATAACACAACAGCTGACTAAAATGAACCAACAAATTTTGTTCCCTGTTTATACTACAGTTTGAAACCTTTACAGGGACAGGTTATCAATGGATAAAAGACTGTTTTGTTCAGTTGATTGAGCAGCACCAAATAATTACCACAAAAACAACTTAAATACATCTGTGACTTGTAAAGGAACACATTTGCCTCACCCACTTATCACCATGTGGACGGCTTTTCTGGATCAGTCAGTTTGCTTGGTAGCTTATCTCATACACTGTTGAACTTGGGACATGGAGGTAACCAGGTTCAAGTCCAATAAAGGGCAGTTTTAAAATCAGGTAAAAGCAATTTAAATTGTGGTTTGCCTTTGAAAACAATATTGGTTGGATTTAGGGAAAGAAATGTGTGGGTTAGTCAATCGTGAGGTGATATATTAAGTATGAAAAGTTGGCCAGCTTCTAGCGCACAAGACGGATGTGAAAATGGCATGTATAAGAAAACACAGCCCAGTAACCTTTTTGAGATTCACAGAAATATATACAGTGGCCTCTAGTCCATTAACAAAAAGGACATGTAAATGGCATGTATGAGAAATCTAGCCCAGTCACATAATTGAGTTTCTCAAAAATTTACCTAGCGGCCCCTAGTGGATTTATCAAAACAAGCTGCAAGCAGATGTCACTGGAGTAATGTATTTCGTAGTTTGCAAAAACATAGACCTGAGCATGTATTTCCAATGAGCCTGGGTTGCATTCATTCATTCAGTCATTCATTTGTTTCCTTGCTTGTCTGTTGCTGATGACCCTTGAGTGTCTGCCTAGCTCCAGTTTCCCAGGGTGCAGTAATATTCATTTTACATTCTCACACAAGCCAACTGTGGTTAGGGAGAGTGAAGGTTAATTATATCTTCCCGTTCCTCTTCTCTCTTCCTGTGGTGTTGAGACATATGATGTCAGGCTTAGAAAATTCAGCACTTTAAACTATCCTTAAACTTTGTCTTTGTTTGTTGAATATTTTCAGCTACTGTGGTTATGGTGGCCTGTACATAGTGCAAGTCGTCTGATCTTAACCTGTCCACAACACATTAGACGAAAAGATAAAAACAAAACAAAGAACCTTATTATCTAATGGTTTCCTTTCCCTTTGCAATTGAGTATTACAACTCATTTCGCAAATGTGCACACTTGGCAGGAACCAAAAGGGCCATCAAATCCTAAAGATGATTAACATTCTAGGGACAAGACACATTAAGAGCCATACCTCTCTCCTCCTCTGCAGAAAAAGAAGGGGAAAAAAAGATTCTCAGGAGAGGTTGCCTCAAGCTTTGGGTAAATTGGTTTGGCTGCCACATTAGAGGTCGAAAGGGAGGGATAGCAAGCTGAGGAGGGTTGTGGAGGAGGGGACTGAAGTGCAGGACTTAGTTGTGGCCTGAAATGGGGTTGCAGGGGAGAAGCAAATGAGGCAGAAAGACTTAACCTGATAAATGAAAGGGCAGCCTCTCTGCTATTGCAGTGTCACAGCATTAGCTTTGTGCTTCCTAGTCAAAATAAACCAACAACATAAAATCTGGCAAATCACTACTGATTATGATTTAGTATAAAGCTAGTTCAGTTTGGTTTCATTTAGTAGATATATATACTGTATGTAAATATAAAAGAATGTAAATATTTGTTTATTGCTGGCTTTCACGCAATCTTTTCCACTGACTTGTGTTTGTATGTTTATTGAGAATGTGACTACTTTTTAGCCCCTTACCAGACCTAATAAAGTAATATATATATATATATAATATATAATATATAAATGAAGTCAGAAATATTAGCCCCAACCCCCCATCCCCTATCCTTATTAATATTTCTCAAATGATGTATAACAGAGCAAGGAAATTTTCACAGTATGTTACATAATATTTTTTCTTCTAGGGAAAGTCTTATTTGCTTTATTTTGGCTAGAATAATTTTTTTCATGTTTTTTTAAAGAAAAATATTTCGTTCATCAAGGCAGCATTTATTAAATGTAAAAAATTGTTGAATATTTATTAAAATGTTAAATGACTGCTTTCTTGTTGTATGTACTTTCAAATGAAATTATTACTCCATTCATTGTTGCTAATATTACTATCAGCATTATTAATCATATTATTAGTAATAATAATAATAATAATTATTATTATTATTATTATTATTATTATTATAGAGTGATTTCTAATGGACCATGTGACTTTGAAGAATGGAGTAATGTAGTGGAAAATTCATCTTTAAAATCACTGGATTAAATAAATAATTTAAATTATAAACTAAATTTAAACAGTTATTTTATAGTTCAATAACATTTCACAATTTGTAAATAAATGCAGCCTATGTGATCAAGATAAGCTTATTTAAAAACATATAATTGATACTAATTAATTAATTTTAATTGTACTGACTGCAAATTTGTGACCAGTAGTATGTGTGTGTGTTTATATATATATATATATATATATATATATATATATATATATATATATATATATATATATATATATATATATATATATATATATATAGTTGAAGTCAGATTTATTAGCCCCCCTGTCATATTAGCCCCCCTGGTTATTTTGTCCCTAATTTCTGTTTAATGGAGAGATTTATTTCAACAAATTCCTGAACACAATAGTTTTTATAACTCATTTCTAATAACTGATTTATTTTATCTTTGCCATGATTACAGTAAATAATATTTTACTAGATATTTTTCGAGACACTTCTATACAGCTTAAAGTGACATTTAAAGACTTAACTATAGGTTAACTAGGCAGGATAGAGTAATTATACATGTTAAACACATATAGCTTAAAATGGCTAATAATTTTGACCTTAAAATGGCTTAAAAAAATTAAAAACTGCTTTTATTCTACCCTGTTAATAATTTTTTGGGAAATATTTATTTAAAAAAAAAGAAAGGGGAGCTAATAATTATATATATATATATATATATATATATATATATATATATATATATATATATATATATATAACATTTAAGTTGTTTAGTTTCTCTCCTAAAGAAGAGCTTATTTATAAGTAAATACTAACTAACTTACTAATACTAAGTATACTGGCTAAAAACAATACACAAATCCCTGGCGGTTTGTGTATTTGGCTTCTCAGATATTCCAAGAGTCATTTATTAATTTTTGTTTTCCACCTGTACGTTTAAGACAGAAGTGGCTGGAGTTTAATTTAGAAAGCAAAAATGACACAGCAGTAACAGTGCTGTGTTCTCACTATACCATACTATAATCAACACTCTGTCTACAGTTTGAATTATAAAGAGATATAAAGACAACAAGTCCTCCCTAATTAAAAATGTCTCGTGGGCTGTCAACACAGAATTTCAGTTTGACTGAAACATTTGCCAACACATAACAGAAATATGCAGTTATCAAACCCATTCATAGAGATATAGCACAGAATAGTCAACAATTGTGTCATATTGTTGAAGCATATATACAGCATTTGTATGTGTATTTGGGGTTTACCTACAGTATTATGGATTGTGATTATGGGTTGGGTTTCGAGGACAGACCATGGGTTAAACAATTTTTTACAGTAAAGCCTTTGTGCACGTGCATTTGGGTGTACATAGAAGCCAAATAGTTAAGGCAGCCTAGAGCTTATGAGCAGTGTGAGGGTGCAATTTTCAGGTATGGTTACATTTTCAAAAGGGATGACTGACTTAAGCATCATCAACTGCACTAAAAAATACAGTCACAATAAATAAGGTTTTAAATTGGTTATTTACATAAAGCTATTTATCTGTCTTTTTTAAAAGATATTAATAATTTCATATCAAAGCATATTTTTTTTTGCTAAAATATTATTCTGAAAATAGTTAGAAAAAACAAATAAACATTCAAACCAACAAGATCATCTATGTTTTCACATATTTATTCTCACTTGTGTATTAGCAGACCACCCTAGGTTAGATGGATGTGCGCTCATGAATGTTGATGATGCTTTGTGGTCCACTCCTATATATCTTATATCAACAGAAAGGGTCCCTCTATTGAATTTATTTTCACTTCTTGCAGGAGAATGTCGGATAGGGAACTAAATAATTAAAGAAAAGGGACCCTTTTTGACTGCATCAACCATGGCACTGCTGGTAAGCTCTACAATACCTTGTACAATCTACATTTATCAGTGACGATTAGGTGATTATTTAAGTTATTTTAATCACTTTTGCATGACCAAGAATTCCTGGGCCAATTTATTTATATATATATATATATATATATATATATATATATATATATATATATATATATATATATATATATATATATATATATATATATATATATTTTTTTTTTTTTTTTTTTTTTTATGGTTTTGTGTTATCTTGTATCTACGTTTTTTAAGACTGGAAATGTAGTATGCAGCAGCTGTATGACACTTACTGAATCTCAGTGCACATGTTTTATTTTGGTCTTATTACACCATGTATTATCCAATTCCATATGATAAAATTTGTATTCTTGTTTGCTATGACTCAATTTATTCAGTTGTTATCTAAACGTCATTCGGATTGACACACTGTCAATTTTAGGTTTCATAACTGAGGGAGCATTTGTGTAGAGGCAGATTAAGATGAAATTTATCAAGGTTTTCATGAACTGGTCATCTTTCACTTGCATTGTGTAACATGTTTTGGATTGTGATAAGAAAAAGCTCACATTTATTAATGAAGCCTAAATGAACAACATGCTTATGGGTCTCGCTAAAGCTAGCTTCAGGAGTGAGTCAGTGTGCTAATGCTGTCCAAGTTTGAGTTAATATGCTATTGAGTTTCTCTCGATTATTACATTACCGTGGCTCAAATCAATTGATAAACTCCCATTCAATGTGGTGGAGTATTTAATTGAGTCAGTGTCAATTGCATTTGTGCATGCCTGCAGACATGCTGAAAGGAGTAAACACTTTAGCAGGATACTGTCTAAGCTGTGCTCGAGTTATTGAACTCTATGCTGTGTCAGAAAGTGGTATGCTTCAACACACATTCATGCAAAGGAATGCATGAAAGCAGGAAATGGGATATATTTATGCTATAAAAATGCAACAGGAGATTTTGCAATAATAAAATTTTATTGCAAGAAATAAGTGTCACTTCTAATATTCAAATGTGAAATAAGTTGTTACTGTAATACAAGTGTGAAAACATGTTTATTTTATAATGTGCTGTTGTTGTTTTTGTTGTGTATGTTTACAAATATTTATGTGTTATTTGTTCAAATTCAATTAAAATAAATGATTATATAGAATAAATAAACAAAGGTGCCATTTCCTTTTTTGCAGACACAGCTCCAACATCAACCTGCATCGCAAACTACTGACCAAAGAGCTGGATGACATTGTCTTAGACCCCCAGCTTACAACTTTGCCTAAACAGCTGCGTGCTGAGTTCCTGTCAAAGATCTATGCCGACCACCACACAGGACTGGAGGGTGTGGGGGGTTTTGACAATGGACCACCACAAAGCAGAGGACATGAGGGAATGAGATCCCAAGTCGCTAGAGAATATTCACACAGCAACGGCTATTGCCATGGCCCTAATGATGACTATGTGGTTCTGGACCTGAGCACTGCCTCTAGTGTACAGTCAAGTGGCAGTGTGCAATCCTCACATGAGTCTGATGAGGGCAGTGATGAGGGAATTTTGCTGGATGACCTAGAGGATGCTAGTGACACTGAGGACTGCACCCCAAGTACTGGGGCTCAGAGACTGTCAATGGAGGGGAAGAATAGAGAGGAAGCCGGGAAGGAAGAAAGAGAAGGAGAAACAGATGAAAGGATTCTGCACTATGACCCCTCTGTTTCACCATCCATCTTGGCATCCAGTGGAGGTAATGGCACAGGAGGCATTCTTTGCACCATCTGCCACAAACTGTACAGTAACAAAGGGACCCTCCGGGTGCACTACAAGACTGTCCACCTCCGTGAAATGCACAAATGCAAAATACCTGGCTGTAACATGATGTTTTCTTCTGTAAGGAGTAGAAACAGGCATAGCCAGAACCCCAACCTACACAAAAAGGCCCCTTATACCACAATGATTGATTAAAACATTCATTCCTATTTAGCCTATTTCCACAAGCACCGTATCTATAAAAGAACCCTCTCAATTCACCCCCACCCCCAAATGCCTTTTTTAGTATTGTGCCATTTTGACATTTTTGCTTTTGGAAGCAAGTTCTGAACAATATAACATCACAGTGTCATAACATCATAGTTCCCTCAGTTCCCTACACAAACCTCCCCTCAATCTCTTATTTGTGAGCCTTGCCTGCAGAAATGTTGATGAGGAAAAAACAAAAACAAAAAAAAAACTAAACTAAATAAAAACGTTTGTATTTGTGTAATGACAGCTTTTAAAAGAATCCCTTACAAAAGCATGACTGACTAAAATATGTAAATACTAATGTTGTGAGGGGCTTGGTGTGAAACAATTGTATTGATGGTTGATATTTTGTTCTTTTTTGTTTGTTTGTTTTTATTTGGTCTGAGACTTTCACTTCAAAAGGAAAAGAAGGCAAGACAAAGTAGCATCTGCTTAGCTTGATTCATTTATATTGGCTTAAAATGTTTTATCTTAAAAAAAGAAATACATGTGACTTGTGACTTGTTTTATCTTCATGTTAGGTAAACAGATGGAGCTGGCATGCTTTTAGCTCTAACAAAATACTTTTTTCTCACAATCATATCTTTATTTAAAAAAAAAAAACAAAAAAAAAACAATTTTGCACTTTGCAACTATACTAGTGGGACTATTATTTCAAGGATACCGCTTTACAATGATCATTGTCCATTGTGAAAATGACATTTTTAAGGATACAGTGCCAAGTGGTATTAACTGTACCTTTAACAGAAACGTGCCAGATCTTTATATGAGAGTATCTCATTTGACATGATTAAACACTATATTCATCCCATTTAGTAAGTGTTTCAGGTATATTCATTTGAATGCAGTAAATAAGTATTACTGACTCTGATCATAATAATTGAAAAATAAACATTTAAAGAGTATAAGTGTATGGTCGAAGGCTGAATTAGCCCAGAGGTTAGGTAGATAATCTTTCTACTGCATGTAGTTATACTTTAAAGAGGTAGTTTGTGTCCTGTAATTTATTTTGTCTCTAAAAATTTGATCAGTTTTATGATATACAAATGCCACACAAGAGAGGCTATAGAAACTGTGACCAAAAGCAAAGGTACTGTTGCAGAACAGAAATTAAAGGAAAACACTATCTTCTCTAACACTTCTCTACAACTTACAGACATGTGTTTAATGTTGAGGTTTTCGTCTTTATTTTGATCCTGGCGATCATTATCTGACGGCCACACAACAACAGTACAAAGATGGCAGCACTTTTAAATTGGATCCACTTAGTGGTATTAGAAATATGATCCATAGTTAGATCCATTACTGTTGCTTTCTGAAAAAAGAGCTGATGGAGGTATGAACATTAAAAGGGAACAGCAGTGTGAATCATTAAAAATGTACAGCTAGACTGAATCTGGAGGTATTTCCACCACTGATCTGTGTAACAACTCAGTTGTCAATTCATTCAATTCAATGATTATTGCTAATTTTACTGCATTGTTGAGAGGTCAAAATCTCTGTTACTGTTTTCTCTATTCTTTCCCTAATCTTTCCTTTATTTTCTCCTGCTCTGCCACCACCCAGTCCAGAGACAATGGCAATTAGTATATGTTTAACTAAACTTTATGGGATGGCACAAAAACTAAAAATTTTACTTATAATTGTTTGTTAATTCTTCATGAGGGCAATGCAGTCATACTTTACTGCTCGCTGTAAGTGTTATGAAAAAGTACCACTTTAGAGGCATAATACTGCCTCAAGATAATGGCCAAACATTGTAGATCTTGAATCAAATACTGGTCAGTAACATTGCAGAAACATGAGAACCACACAACTAAAGCACTTTTCAGTCTTGTGCATTTTTAAAACGCAGCTAATAATCATAATGATAGATAGATAGATAGATAGATAGATAGATAGATAGATAGATAGATAGATAGATAGATAGATAGATAGATAGATAGATAGATAGATAGATAGATAGATAGATAGATAGATAGATAGATAGATAGATAGATAGATAAATAGATAGATATCACAAATGGAAGTTAGAAGTCTTGTCCTCCATAATTTCCAGACCATCAAACCAAAGACTACTAGTAAGAAGCACAATATGGAAGCATAGAAAAATCCTTTAAACATAATCTATTGAGAGATGAAAAAAATTACAAATGTGAATATTGTATTACACATTGTGCCTCTCTTTGCATTATAATTGTCTTACTGTTGAAGAATTTGTACACTTACAATCAGCAATCGATGAACCAGTAATATGTAATGGCAGTGACAATGAAATAAGTTTAGTTGGAGAAATGTATGAAAGAAGGGGGGAAGAATAGACAAGAAAATGTTTGAATTTTCATCACTTTATTCTATACTGTCTTGTTCTGTTGGAAAGCTGACCAATTGCAACTCATCCTCCAGTTGCCATTTAGTTCCCCCACACCACTCTGAAAAATGACCAGCACATTCCCCTCTGAAAATCTACCATGATCTTGGGCAGTCATTACTGTCCTGTATTGTCCCCACAGAGTTAAGCTTTTACCATGAAGCCATTGGCTAAAAAGAGTCTGAGTGAGCCTTAAATATTTCATTGCAGCTCTGAGGACAGGGCCATCACAGACCATTAATGCAGCATGTAATATCTTGTAAAGGCGATCAGTAAGTTTGCTGTGTTAACACTGTTTCATTGGAGGCATGACGCACAAAAGTATGATGATATGGATTTGAACCTGCTGAAAAGACATTGAACATATGTCAAACAAAACTAGCCATTATGAAGTCAAATACAGAGGAGCAAAATTATAAAGCTGATTCAGCAATAGTAAAGGAGAGAGAAAAAAACTGTTAATTCTATAGTAGTACAATATATTGTGTTATGCAACCACAAACAATAATGAATACACCTGGAATAGTGTTAAAAATTTATTTTGTTTTAATGTGATGTTTGATGTAGTTATTTGTCTTTTCGAGTGTCCTTATACCCACTGAAGAAAAGGGCATCCACATCAGAGGAAGCTCACATTTTGAGTTACAAAGGATGATACTGATAGCTTAACAGTGCTACTTTTATATGGTAAAATGTTTATGTTTCTTCCCATGAGATAGTATGATGTCCCCCTTAAATGATTTAGCTTTTTTTTTTAATCTTCTGTATCATAAACTCTCTTTTTCTCTATATATCTTTTTCTTTTTTTTTTTTTTTGCATAAAATGCATATGGTTTTGGGCGTGTAAATTGAATTTTTGTACAAATCAGAATTCTTGTACAATTTTATATTAAAGATTTATGAGTCACTGGCACGTTGAAGTACTTTCTTTTGTAAAAGAGAATTATGTGAAATATCACTAGTGTGATATTGAACATGATGCTACATTTACACAACATTTTGACAATACAAATGCAAATGTGTAAATAAATCTGAAACAAAAATGGGATGTCTTAAAAAAAGAAACAAAACTCTTGTGTCAAATTCTTTTCCTTACAGATTCAAATTTAATAAATGAACTCAAGCCTATGCTGCTATTTTAAAAATGTCAAATTAAGATTAACAAAGGAATGCTGAGTTACTTCACTGAAAGTCAATGTTTGTTGTAATATGTAGTATAGATATAAGAGAGATCGACTGAGTGTATGCTATTACCTGCATCTGATACAGATCTTTGTTATTTTATACATTTAAAGGTAATGAAAATGGGGATCACTGCATTTGCACTTTTGAAGTAAAATTAGCATTGTAACTTTCAACCTTGTCTTAGACCCCATTTTCACTAATACATTTTAGTTTTAAAACGGTGTTTTAGAATGAAAATGATCCACGTCCACAGAGGCGTTTCACCTTGCATTTCTGAACAACTCTCCATCCACACTATACTGCTGCAAACACACATCACTTGACTATACACACAGACACACACACACACTCTCTGGCATGCACTGCAGCGATGAGAGCTGTGCACATCGGACTGTTTATCAAGGATCTACCACTGGATCTTATCTCATTATATTTTTTAAACGTGATATTTAATTGATCTTGTTGTCTATATCTAACAACAAGATGAATTAAATATCAATTTAATATTCCCTGACTTTGGTCTTTTAAATCTATTACTCGTTCTCAGGAAATGTGTTTTGGCTGAGCTTAAAGATAAGTTAATATATTAATTTATGTAACTGCGTACACTGATTCTGCACATTTGACTGATTGCTTGCCTTTATTTCCTATTTTGATAAACTTATTGTACATTATATTTTGGAACACTCTGGTTACTTTAGTAACCCTCGTTCCCTGAGGAGGGGAACGGAAATGCTATTGTGGATGTTTAATCTACGAATGGGGATTTCGTTTCAGAAAGCCAATTGTCTGAAAGAGTATACAACGGGTCAATGAAATGCCAAATTAATTTAATTATTAATTTAAAAGCTTAAGCTTGCACATGTGTGCTTTATTGCCAATTAGCTCCGTATATAAGCACAGGGTAAGCAAGGAAACGCCATCCTTTTAAGCTGAAGAGACTGACACAGCTAAGGAACAATCATTATGGCAATGCTATATAGCATTTCAGTTCCCCTCCTCGGGGAAAGAGGGTTACTTTAGTAACAAGAGCGTTCCCCTTCGGATAGGGAACTTCATTGCTATAGTGGATGTTTAATCCACGAATGGGGAAATGTCTGGAAAACGCCAGTTTGAAAACGCCAAAGTGGGGATCACGCATAACAGATGTCTGTTAGAGAGGCGCCACGTGCACACACCTAAGAGGATGCAATGCTCCGAGTGGAGTGCGCACGCACTCTCGGGGGAAATCGCTCGCCCTGGCTCAGGTAAGAGAGGGAGATGGCATCCACTATCCAGTGGGCCAACCTCTGTTTCAATACGGCACTTCCCTGCTGCCGACCGCCATAGCAGACGAAGAGCTGCTCAGATGATCTAAAGCTCTGAGTGCAGTCCAGATAAATACGCAAAGCACAAACTGGAAAAAGTAAGAAAAGGGCTGGGTCTGCCTCCTCCGGGGGCAGCGCTTATAGGCTCACTATCTGGTCTTTAAACGGTGTGGGAGGAACCTTGGGCACATATCCCGGGCGGGGTATCAGGAACGTGAGAGTAAGCCAGCCCGAATAACAGGCACGAGTCACTGACCGAAAAATGCCTCCAGGTCCCCGACCCTCTAAATCGATATCAAAGTGACCAGCAGAGCTGTCTTCAGGGACAGAAAGCTTAAAGATACTGAGTCAAGGATCGAAGGGATCTGACGCAGGCTTGTGAGAACGAGGGCGAGATCCTAAGAGGGCATGCGAGGGGGGCGGGGTGGATTAATTCGCCTAGCGCCTCTGAGGAACTGGATGATGAGGTTATGCCTTCCCACGGTGCTGCCAGTCACCGCGCACTGCGCATCACAGTCACGTAACCTTGAGCGTGGAGGGCGACAGCCTGCTCTCCAGCTTCTCTTGGAGTAAAGAAAGCAAAACGCTGATCTGGCAAATTTCAGGGGTCTTCTCAGCGAGAGACGCACCATTCAGTGAATAGACTCCCAAGTGACGGTATTAACCACCGCAATCGGTAGGTTACCTAAGTCTTTCTCGCATCTAAGGACCACACGTGAAGGTTCAAAAGAGCGGGGCTAGGGTGCCAAATGGTGCCCTGTCCCTGAGAGAGTAGGTCCCCTCTCAAAAGGATCTGCCAGGGGAGGGCCGTCGCGAGGAGGGAGAGCTCTGACATCCAGGTCCGGTTGGGCCAGAGGGGCGCAACCAGCAAAACCTGTTCCTCGTCCTCCCTGACCTTGCATAGTAACTGCGCGAGCAGGCTCACTGGGGGAAATGCTTATTTGCGCATGCCCCGAGGCCAGCTGTGGGCCAGTGGATCCGTGCCGAGAGAGCCCTCGGTCAGGGAAAAGAACAACTGGCAATGAGCGTTCTCGGGGGAAGCAAACAGATCGATCTGGGCTTCCCCGAATCGCTCCCATATCAGTTGAACAGACTTCATCGTGAGCGCATCAGCTGCATGGTTGAGCTTGCCTGGAATGTGAATGGCGCGCAGCAATTTCAGCCACGGATGACTCCAGAGGAGCAGATGGCGGGCGAGCTGAGACATGCGGCGAGAGCGAATACCCTCCATGAGGTTGATATATGCCACTGCCACTGTGCTGTCCATCCTGACCAGCACGTGCTGCTGCTCTAGCCCTGTAAAAAACGGTGAAGAGCGAGGAACACTGCCAACAGCTCCAGGCGATTGATATGCCAA